AACTGTGATGTGAGAAGGGCCGTTTCTAAACAAGAGACGCATCTGCTGACCACGGAGAGGTCTAACTGTGCAGAGATTCAGTCTGCTGGGTTGCAGAGAGGTTGGGGAGGAGGATATGGCAACTTACAGGTCCTGGAGGAAACTTTGGTGGAAGAGGAGGCTATGGTGGCAGAGATGGTGGCTGCAGAGGTAGTTACAGAAGTGATGGTGGATGTGAAGGATTTGAAGGTGATGGTGGTAACTGTGCTGGTGGCCATGGTTACAATAGTAGAGGAGGCTATGATGGTAGACCAGGATATGGAGACCAAGGTGGTGGATGTGGTGGAGGTAACTAGTGGTGGTGGAAACTGTAATGACTTTGGACATTAGAGTGGATAACAAGCATCACAATACAGGTCCGTGAATGAGGGCAGTGTTAGAGGATGCTTAAGATAGTCTGCATGGGGGTAGCTTTTGATCTGTGGTGGAAGCGTTAGATATGGAAGCAGAGGGTTTAACAGCAGAAAATGGCTACAGAAGAGAGGGAGGAGTTGTCAGGAAAGCTCTCGGTTACTTTGAGCAGGTCTTCTTCGATACTTTAGAGGAACTGTAAAAATCTGCCACAGAGCAATGGTTCATAGCCAGAAACGCCACTACAGCTTAATCAGGAAGCCCTTCTTGTTCGGGACTGTCACAGCACAGTTCACAAAATGTGCAGCTGTTCATTAATGCAGTGTAGTGTCAATTACACAGACATGCCAGAGTCTTTTACCTGTTGTAGCTTTTCCTTTCCCTTACTCTGGTTATGTTGCCCTGTAAATTGTAATAGTGGTACCAGGAATAAAAAAAAAAAGGGAATTTTTAGCTTAAGATAGAAAGAAAGAAAGAAAGAAAGAAAGAAAGAAAGAAAGAAAGAAAGAGAAAAGAAAGAAAGGGAGAAAGAAAGAAAGAAGGAGAGAGAGAGAGACAGACACATGCAAGTTTAAGCGGAGGAATGGTTGCAGTGTGCTTGGTAAGAGTCGGATGGACTCCAGCCGCTGTTACTGCATAGAGACTTGTGCAGGCTTAAGCAAGGGTTTCCTCCCCAGGCTTTCTCCTGAGATAGCTACGCAGAGCATTTGACACAATGCTTTCCCTTTATCTCTCTGCATCCTGGTTTTCTGAGATACTCCCAGGCTTGTCCTTCATGGTGCTCTCCCTACTGAGATACATTCCTAGCTTCAGAGGAGTGAATGCTGCCACACATTCCAGAGTTTGGAGAGGTGGGGGTTAAGGCCTCAAGGGATGTGAGGACTGGCCTGATTCTGTGTCACGTAGGGAGGAGCGATAAGATCTTACCTATGTTTTGAAACAGAGCCTTCCTGACCTCTCTGTGGAACACTTGCAGTTTCGTGGGTAGAGAGGGAAGTAAAAACACCAGTTAGGAGGCCATTGCAGTCTTCTATGTGAAAGTGCTGGCTGGCTTAGACCGAGACCAGCACTGAGTCCTGGAGAGACTGAAACTGTGTTAAAGGATGGAGAATGTGGGTTTTAGACAGCTTTGGAATTTGTGAGGAAAAGGAGTCAGGGCAAGTCTGGGTCTGGCCTTGCCACTGACAGCGAGAGAGGTTAACGGAAAGCCGGCCTACCGTACTAGAATTAGGGGCTTGGTTTGGGCATTTCAAATTTATGTGTTCTGAGTGGCCACTTTTAGGAGCCCTGAAGCGAGATGAAGTCACAGAGAGGAACGCTAAGTGCACATGGGTCAGAGTGTCCTGGAGCTTAGAGATGAGGAGAGCAGGGAAGGAGTAAGCCCTGAGGTAAGAATCCAGGGAGAAAAACCTTCCAGAGCCAGACCATAAGATGTCAAGGAGCAAGGAGGAACTCTGTCTGATAAGAGTCAGAACTTGACCGTTGATTAAGCCATGTGAGGGTTGTTTTCACTCCTTAGCAAGAACATTTTGGTTGGAGGAGTGGGGATGTAAAGCCGAGTTGGATTTCCTTATGAGAAAAAGGTATACACTGGACTGGGACTGTCTGGGGTTAGAATTCATAGTGAGGCTCTAAGGGCTGTGTGTGTGTGTTCATGGTGATAAGCTGTTTCAGAATGGCTTTACCCACCAGCTTAAAGTAATTAAATCAGGCCCATCTTACATATACTGCTGAGAACCTATTTAGGTATCTGACTAGGCTTTTTCTCAAAATTCTTGACTTTAAACTCTGCCACCTGGCTCTCATTGTGTAGGCTAGGCTGGCTTTGACATCTCGCCCTGTGGCAGGCTTCCAGTCTCCAGATCTCAGGGATCTTACCTAGCTACCCGGTTTCGTATGCAATAGTTCAAGGAAAGAGCCCTTTGCAAGTGGGCCCAGAGGCAAGGCTCTAACTTAAAAATCCTGGAGAAATTTTGTTTATGGACTTTAGAGAGTGGGACTTGCAGTTCCCACCATCTGAGGAAAAATGTGTCAAAACCACATGGAGTTAAGCCAGTGCAGCAAGCTAGGCTCCTGCAGCGAGCTGGTTAACTGGTCTGTCTTGTGCTTTGTCACGGGTTCTGAAACCCACGTCCCCCGGGCTGCTTTCCTGCCTGCCCACTGCAAGGAACGTCTTTTGTTTGCTTCTAGTCTCAAAGAAAGGCTTATTTTGAGGTCTGGACCACAAATAATAATCCATTGTTCCCTATAATAATAATCCACCCTCATAGAGTAGAAAAAATTTCCCTGATGCAGTGTGGCTATCAGTTTATTTAAAAGAATAGCCAAAGTACCCATTATATTCTGAGAATAAACATTTGCAAGATGGTTGGGAGGAATGAGGGGGTGCTCTTATTCTTCTTGGCTGGAGTCACAGTTAAACCCTCAGGGAGAAAATGGCCGTCGTCCCCGTGACAGTGCTGGTCTGTTCATTCTGAGGGTATCTGAACACAGCAGGTATTTATGCCAAACTGTTTCTTAGAAGAATACCTTATTTTGCAGATGGGTGTTTTTAAGTTAATAGTTTCAGGACAAACGCATTTAGCCTGTGAACGTGCCTCTGTTCCAAATGCCAGCCGCCTTACTGAGGCTGCCTCCTCTAACTGCCCTGCACTGGCCTCTGATTACAGATCTTGAGGGACAAAAAAGAGGCATTTAAAAATCACAAAATGGTAGACACATTTAAATAAGTGTTTCCTGGGCTTAGGCTAACTGAACAAACATGGAGGGTAAAATGCAAACCAAAACCAGTGTGATCAGAAATGTCTAGAGTACCCCATGTCCCTAGCACAGGGAAATTTTAAGGGTGGTTTCACTCAAAAACTAAATATACATTTTCCTGCCTTGAGTCCTTTAATATCAGGAAGAGTATCAGTTAAGATTAGTTTAAATTTAAATAGTGCTTTAAATATAAATGTGAGTAAAGCTTAATTCGATAACAATTGCAGTATGTTAGATGAATATAAAAACTGTCTAAATACGTAAGAATAAGACATTCATGTCATAAAAACAGTCCACCAGAGAAATCCCAAGACGTTCTCCCTGCCTCCTCCTCCCCTCCCGAGTTTTCTGTTCTGGAACTCACTTTGTAGATTAGGCTGGCCTCAGACTGTCAGAGACCTGCCTGCCCCTGCCTCCTGAGTGCTGGGATTAAAGGTCTGCCCCACCATACCCAGCTACCCAAGGAGGCAAGTGGTTGAATGATAATCTGTGAATCTGTGGCACAGTGAGAGTGTTTCCCATTGTATTAGATATTTTGCTATAGCTGTGTTGAAAGACATGGAGGGAAAAAAAAAAAAAGCCGGGCAGTGGTGGCACATGTCTTTAATCCCAGCACTTGGGAGGCAGAGGCAGGCGGATTTCTGAGTTCGAGGCCAGCCTGGTCTGCAGAGTGAGTTCCAGGACAACCAGGGCTATACAGAGAAACCCTGTCTCGAAAAACCAAAAAAAAAAAAAAAAAAAAAAAAAAAAGAAAGAAAGAAAAGGAGAAAAGACATGAAGGAAGCCTGAGACAATATTGCTGAGTCACTCAGAAAGGCTATCTATAGCGTGACTCCCGCTATACACTGCTGTGAAGGAGAAAAAAATCTAGAGGCCGAAAAAGGCCAGTGTTCCCAGGAGCTTGAGGGCATTGCTTAATCAGAGGCACTCAGAGATGTTCAGGAGAGTGAAATATTATATATGATACCTTAGTGAGGGTTATGCATTGTTACAGTCATTGTTAAAATCCATAGGACTTAGAAAGATCGTCTTTACAAGAATGAACCCTAATGTAAACTAGAGACCTCAGTTAACAGTACTGTAGCACTATGTTTATAATCGAGGCAAGGGTACCACACTGATACCAGATGTTATAACAGAGGACACTGGAGGAGGGGATGGACTTTGTAGCTCTTTGCCTACATTTTGCCTACAGGTTTCTGGAAACACGAAACTGCATTTACTGTTTTTCTTGCCTGTTTTTAAGATTTATTTATTTTGTTTTATATGTATGAGAATTGGGTCCAGGTACTCTACAAGAGCACCAAGTCCTCAAAACTGCTGAGCCATCTTTCCAGCCCCCAAAGGACTTTACCCCCAGACAGGGTCTTACTATATCTCTCTGGCTAACCTGGAATTTACTGTGTAAACAAGGCTGTCCTCAAACTCACAAAGATCTTACTGCCTCTGCCTCTGGAGTGCTAGGATTAAAGGCATTTGCTACCATACCTGGTTTGTCTGTTAATTTAAAAAAAGTTTTTGTTTTGTTTTTTATGATAGCCATATTAGTGAAAAATATTTAATTAATAAAAACTCAAAATTAACTAAAAATAATCATGTCTATAGTCCAGAGCAGGAGGATTCTGAATTCAAGGCCAGCTTGGGCTCCGTATTAAGACTTTGTCTTCAAATAAACAACATCTCACAAACAATTAAAAAAAAAACAACCAACCAACCAACAAACAAAAAAACAGACAGTGAACAATAACTCTGAAGAAACCCAGTAAGATCTCTCTCTTTGGTAAATATGTACAGGGATATTTCTGCCAAATCCTGCTTTTGAACTTTGTTTTTTGTTTTTCCCTCTTCAGTGACAGCTAGAATATCAGCCTTGGAGGTACATACTCCTAAAGAAATCTTTGTGGTGAACGGGACACAAGGGAAGCTGACATGCACGTTCGACTCTCCTAATACAACTGGATGGTTGACCACGGTCTCCTGGAGCTTCCAGCCAGACGGCACTGACAGCGCAGTGTCGGTAAGGACCACGCCCCTCACCCATTCTGCCCCAGCTCCCTCCTCTTCCGCCTGTGTTCATTGTTTCTTGTAGACTGCTCTGCTGTTCTGCAGTGATTCACTCAGAGCATCCACTTCTGAAATGAGATACTTCAGGGCTTTCTTCTCTTCCTTCAGAATGTTCCAGAATTAAGAGTTGCTCAGCATCTCTTAATGCAGCATGTTTCCTTGTCTTTTTAAGTATCTCCCTTTCCCTGTGGTCATCGTCCGTGTATCGTGTCCCCTCACCCCCACTTCAGTCCATCAGATCCCATTTGGAGTGTGCACAGAACACTCTGTTGGACCATGCTTTATCCCACATCTTTTCAGCTTACATTTGCCCCGTTTTTAATATCTATTTATTTTATGATATCTATCTATATCTGTCTCTGCTCTTCCCTGGGTATAATGAGAATCCGCCTGGCCTGTAGTTCCAGGATGCTGACAGACACAGCATGCTGACAGCAGAAGGGAAATGCTAAGAGTTTGGACAGAACATGTGTTAGTGTTGGTTTTCTTTTCTTTTTGTTGCTGTGGTAAAATACTGACCAAGGCAACTTGAAGGAGAAAGGGTTTTATTTTGGTTCGTAATTCAATAGCATACTCTGTTGTAGAGGAAAGACACGACAGCAGAGCTAGAAGTGGCTGGTCACATCACAGTGGCAGGAGGGAAGCAGGGGATGACAAATGCACACTCAGCTCACTTTCTCCTTTTTATACTGTCAATCCCAGCCTAGGGAATGATACCACCTACAGTGGGCAAATCTTCCCATATCAATTAACTAAGTCAATATAATAATCTCCCATAGGCATATTCAGAAAAACATCTATCTTTTTAGATTTCATGAATAATTGAGATTAGTCATCACAGAAAATCAGTGACCTGCTAGAAGCTAGTCTAGCTACTACGTAAGTGGATTCTTGTCAAACATGGGCCAACTGTTCCCATTCATTCTATAAAATGGAGCTAGTAAAACCACCCATAGAACGGTATCGAGAAAAGGAAAGTTCTCAATATGATGTCTAATGTAGAGAATTCATGTTACTGTTTTCCTGTTGATCCGTTGTGTGTCCTTTGGATAGTGGTACCTGCTTTAGCAATGTTGTACATTTTAGGTTGTCAGCACTAGGTAGGAAAAGAATGCCACCATCATTAAGTAAGAGTATCTAACTCTTGGGCCAGGCATGGTGGCTTACATCTTTAATCCCAGCACTTGGAAGGCAAAAGCAGGGGGATTTCTGTGAGTTTGAGGCCAGCCTGGTGTAAAAAGTGGGTTCTTAGAATGGTCAGGGTTCCCCCCAAAAAAAACTCAAAATGGTGACTCTTCTTTGGCTGATGAGTATGTGATTTGAATGTGTTCCCCAAATGTTTGTACTGTCTCCTAAGCCTGTTTGGAGGTCCCTAGGGTGAGGTTGGGTGAAGTGGTGAAAGTAGGGTCCCCATGATACACCAGTGACTCGAGAAGCAGAGACACTTGCCCTGGAACATATGTTCCATTTTCCCATAGGATACCCTCTGCCACGTTCTGATGCAGCAAGATGCTCCTGGTGCTGACTCCAGCTTTCCTCTGCATGAAGTCAGGTTCCAGACTTGACAGCACTGAACTGAGTTTTCTTCTCCTCTCTTTCCCGCTCTGTTCTTTGAGGGTAACTGTGTTCTTTGAAGTGGCTCTGTGAGATTGGGTCATGATTGTTCTGCCTTCTCCCTTCAGTCCCACTTCCCGTCTATATCTTTAGAGATAAGAACCTTTGCTGCCTGTCCTCCTCCAGTCTGGTCCATGGATTGGCATATAGTACCTGTTCCTTCTCCTCCTGCAGATGTGTGTGGGATGTGTGTCGCTGGTTCAGAGTGCGAGTTAAGGGAGTATTTGGAGATGATAACAGAATGAACGGAAAACTAGATTATTAAAAAAAAAAACTTGTTTACTAGGTTGACAATTTATTGTTTATTTTCTTGCTGGAGATTGGGGAGAAAGAGAGAAAGGAAGACAGCAACTGACTTTGAGCAGGCAAAATGTAACCCATCAGGATTGATGCTAACCAACAGTAATCACATGGACTGTGAATCAAAGCTGGGTTTAAATTCTGTCTCCGAGGCCTGTGACTTTGGGCAGGTCACTGAGGTTTTCTGAGCTTCCAGTTCCACATTTGTGAAGTTCAGGGCAGGCACTGGGAGATCAGGCTTTCTAAAATCGGGTAGGAATTGAAGAGAAAACAGAGAACTTGGGTTGTGTGTGAAACATTGACTGTTATGATAAGCACTGCATGGTAAGGGCGAGAGCAGGACGGGTTGCTACAAGGTTTATGGTGAACAATACTTTCTAAGCCCATTTTTGTGCTATAATAAAAAGCCAAGGACTGGGTAATTTATAAGAAACATAGATTTGTTTCTTCTAGATCCGGAGTCTGGAAAGCTGAAGACCACCAGACCTGGCATTTGGCAAGGACTTTCTTGTTGTGTTATCTCATAGTAGAAGCCAGAAAGACAAGAGAGTAAAAAGGCCCTTTGCCAACCCCTTGTGTGATTTGCATGTCTTTCTGTGGGGATCTTTTAAAAAAAAAGCAGCTAACCGCACAGCGTGGCTGTTCCCAGATGCCGGGGGTCTGTGCCTCTGAGAGTAGCTCACGAGTTCTTGTTTTCTTTTTGCAGTTTTTCCACTACTCACAAGGACAAGTGTACATTGGGGATTATCCACCATTTAAAGACCGAGTCACCTGGGCTGGGGACCTTGACAAGAAAGATGCATCAATCAATATAGAAAATATTCAGGCTGTTCACAATGGCACCTATATCTGCGATGTCAAAAATCCTCCCGACATTGTTGTGCGGCCTGGGCACATTAGGCTCCACGTGGTGGAAATAGGTAACTTCCAACAGTGGCTGATGGATGGACGGATGGATGGATGGATGGATGGACAGATGGACGGATGGATGGACAGATGGACGGATGGATGGTCTGCTTTGTTGTGGTTAGCTGGAGAATAAGATTTATGTTTCAAGGTGCATTTGGAAGGAAGATTTTTTTTTTTTTAATTTATTTTCATGGGTGTTAGATATCAACCCCCAGCCTTACAAATGCTGGCCAGTTACTTTACCGATGAGCCACATCCCCAAGTCCTGCAGGGAAGGTTTTTGCCTTCCAGCTATGCTTCCCATCTCGGCTGACACTGGAGGCTCAGCCTGGCAGAGACGATGGTTGGGAACTGCTCAGTACAGCAGGTGGCTTCCTTTCCCATGCCTCCATCTGGAGCCTGTGGCTGACTTCAGACAGATTAGTGTTCAGTGTTAAGACCAAGAAAGACCTGATTTACTCTGGCTAGATGAGGTAGGCTGTCCGGAAAGGAGATTGGGGCTATTTTGATACTGCCTGAGGTGATATTCAGTGTCTTTCAGAGCAATACAGAATTTTCTTCCCTTGTTTGAGATTTCTCAGGGAATGCAGGCTTCATTCTCTCCCCTCTCAGCAGTTTTTTGTTTTTTTTTGTTGTTTTTTGTTTATTTATTTATTTATTTATTTATTTATTTATTGGTTTTTCGAGACAGGGTTTCTCTGTGTAGCCCTGGCTGTCCTGGAACTCACTCTGTAGACCAGGCTGGCCTCGAACTCAGAAATCCGCCTGTCTCTGCCTCCCAAGTGCTGGGATCAAAGGCGTGCGCCACCACCGCCCGGCCCCTCTCAGCAGTTTTAAGCCAGAGAGTCAGTTGTGTGCAACTCCAGACTTCCTTTGACTGCAGAATGTTGGAGTGGGGTTGTGGGTATAGAAATGACTGGCTCTCTAGGTAATTTTCAACTGATATGCTGTGGGTATACCAGCTGAGGTTCATCTTTAGATGCTGCCCTGTGGAATTTGGCTAATAAGAGAGGATAAATAAAATAACTGCCACAGGGAGACTCTTGCTCATTAAGTTACTGAAATCCCATTTCTTCTCTCTGCGGTCCTGTACCCGAACCTCACCCTGTTCTCTCCTCTAGACAACCTGTTGGTGTTCCTGGTTTGGGTGGTGGTGGGCACTGTCACTGCTGTGGTCCTTGGCCTCACTCTACTCATCAGCTTGGTCCTGGTCGTCCTCTACAGAAGGAAACATTCAAAGCGGGATTATACTGGGTAAGAACTGCTACCTTGTAGGAAAGGGTTGGGGAGAAGAAACTGGGCTTTATAAACTTACTCTTTATGGGGAGAGCACTGCGAAGAATTAATCTGCTGTTTGCTTTTCTGTCGGGCTCAAGCAGTCCTAGGTGCTGTGTTATGTATGAGGAGGCAGACATCAGTGGCTTGCTGTTAGTTAGCATAAGATGCCAGTCTCCGTTCTGAGGGTTGGGGAAATGATTGGCTCAGCAGTCAGGTGCTGAGTTTCCATGCCGTCCACTCATCAGTTAGAGTTCTTAAGCCACAGACATCACTTACTCAATTTAAGTAATGCCTCAGATGGTGTAAGGGTTTGATTTTGCCAGGCATGGCGGCATCTGCCTGTAATTCTAGTACTTGGGAAATAGCTCAAGGTCATACTTGGCTTCATAGTAGGTTTGAGGCCAGCTTGAACTGCATGAGACCTTGTCTCAGAATAATAACAGGGTCTGGCATGACAGTTCAGCAGATAAAGATGGTACCCATGTGGTAGGAAGGAACTAAGCCCCGACAAGTTCTCCTTTGACTCCTATTTGCACGCCATAGTACCTATATATGTATGTTATCTCCCCCCCCACATCCTCCCACAAACAAATTAAAATGAGAAAAGGTTAAAAGTAGGTTTCATTGCAGTGTGTTGCTATTAATCTCATAAGGGCCTTCCTTTTGCTTGGTTGTATACGATGCCACGGGAGATGCTGTGCTAGTGACTGGCCCTCCTTGCCCTCTGTGGAGCGCAGCTTCTCTCTGCTGTAGTTCCCACCCCACTACACTGTGAGCAGCTTCGTCACTTTGCTTTGTGCTGGTTGCATGCGCTGGGAGGGTAAGAGTTAATGTCAAAACGCAAAAGGAAGAAAGAAGACATGACTTTGGTATGGTGTCTCACCAGGGACATCTGAGTGTAGGGTTGTGTCTAATTGCAAGACCTTCTCTTTTCCTGTCTCCAGCTGGAAAGCTAACCCAATATAAGCTATAGCACCCACTCGGTAAGACTGGGGGAGTGAAGGCTGGTTTCAAGTCAGGATAGCATGCGCAGTGTCACACACGCACAAGCTAACTTGAGTCATCCTAGAGGGACTGTGGTTAGGGAGTACCACATGCCCGGATGATGAGGGCGTCTCTCTGTGAGCTTTGCTGGCCTAGAGTGGTTAGGAGTGCTGTGTTTAAACAAGTCTGCGTGCTCTGATTCGGGTACTGCTGGCTTGGAATGCTTCTGTTCTGCTGAGTATCGCTCCCTTGCATGAGTGTTTTGTGATTAAATACAGTGGAATTGATGGTTCTCAGCATGAGGCTAGACTAAGGTAGCAATGCTTCAGACCGTAGTTCTTGCTTGGGGTTAATAAAGTGGGCGGGAAGCTATTCCTTGGGTCCTGCCTGCAGGGCTCCATGGTTGCTGCTGTTCTTACTCCCCCTCCAACCCACCACCATTTCTTGCTTTTCTTTCTTGGTATGCTGGGACCAGGTCCTGGTTAGATTCCCTTCTTAAGATGACATAGAAGATACATTGTCACTTAGAAGATACAGAAGGCACTGTAACTGGGCTGGGTCTCCTCTTCTACTCCCACTAGACACATGGTAACTGATCACACTGCCTGTTGCTTGTTAATATTATGCGTACATGTTCAGCCCGTTCCCCTTGTTGACACTAACCAGCCAGCTCTGTGCTAACCCAATAGCTATTATGGTTTGTTCAAGAATATGTCCTTGACTATACTGAAAATGTAAACATAACATCCAGGTGAAGTTAGGTTCATCTCTGTGTGTGTCTGTGTGTGTGATTTTCATACATGAATTTTATTGTCAATGATTATGACCTTCTTTGTATTGAATAATCGAACAGTTTGGCTTAGGGCATAGCCTTCCAGCCAGAGAAGGCCCGTTTGCAAAATGCCCGGGAAGCTTTAGTCTTAGTCACGACACTAAATGTGGTCCACTCCAGACTCCTCACTTAAGATAGCATGTCAGCACTGATGACAGCCCTAACGACCTGCTTCCTGGTTTATTCATGAGGCAGCACTCGTTTACAGATTGTCCTAGGCCTCTCTCACAGAGTTCATTCCGTGTTACATTCCATGTTGCATTCCAGAGTTTCTTGTGGATCATGACGTCCTGACTGTTGTGTTTTGAGGTTTTTGTGTTTATTGGTTTTGTTTGGTTGTGATGTTGATAGGGAAACAAAATGTGGGCAACTAAAGAACGGGAGGAGCAAGGGGGCCGCTGGGCTGGGTCTGGATGTAGACCTATAATTTTGAAATTCATCCAGAAGACAGTTTCCTGGGATGACGACTAAAGGTTTCAGCCATTAAGCAAATGGAGGTTATTCTCTTGAACATTTATCTGGAGGCAGGGTGGATGGCAGGAGAAAAGACAGCATGCACACAGAATCACAGGGTCTCCCACACTGAAAGAATCCCAGTCGCCCCGCCCCCTTAGCAGCATGCCGATTGGTTGAGAAAGATCCAGGGTTTCCACGGTTCTGTTTCCTGTCATTTTGCTTTTGTGCATCTGTTGCCATCACTTGCATCGCTATATTTTTGTTTCCATTTATTGTAATTTTTTGTTTTTACATTTGTTCTTCAAATCGTCACTTCATCAGCTGCAGTACCTCAGAGCGTTTGTCACCAGTTAAGCAGGCTCCACGGAAGTGTCCCTCCGACACAGAGGGTCTAGTAAAAAGTCCGCCTTCCGCCGGATCTCACCAGGTAACAGCTGATGGCGCTCTGCTCTAAGGTTTGGTACATGATAAATTCTGGGGTATGAGGGCGAATCCTGCATCGTGATAGAGCCATGCAGACAGAACAGAGAAAGGGAGGAAGATGGAGGAAATAAAGGGGCGGTCTAAGACCACAAAAAACTGTGTTTAAAAAGAACTGATCTCAGGAAAGTTTTCCACCAAACCACCACTAACGTTTACTAAAAAACGTGACTCCTTTGACCCAAGTGCAAGTAGCAAGTGACGTAGTCAGCTGTAAAGCATTCTTTAGTTGCCCAAGGAAACAAAGTTTAGTAAACTATAATCTAAAGAAACTGTAAGAGTTTATCAGGGAAGGGCTGGAGGAGTAGTTCATTTGGTAAAGTTCTTGAAAGAGGACCTGGGTTCAGTCCTTAGAGCCCACATAGAGGGAGGGAAGGGGCTGGGTGTGGTGACTTGTGCTTAAGGTCGCAGTGCTGGGGAGGTAGAGACAATGGACCCCTTAATTAAGCTCACTGGATAGCAACCCCCAACCCCAGAAGTTAGGAGGGAAAGTTGGTGTTCTCAGTATTGATAATAAAACAAGAAATTTATTTCATGACCAGACACAGTGATCAGGATTTATGATGCAGAGTACCAGAAAATTTATTTTCATGGAAAAAATGGTATTTGTGGTATTTATAATAAAATAGAGAACTGATTTTTCTTTAGAAAAAATTAGAAGGGAGCACTTGACTGCTCTTGTAGAGGACCCTGGTTCAATTCCCAGAACCCACATGGTGGCTCACAGTCATTTATATAGTACAGGCAATCCAGTACCCTCTCCTGACTTCACAGGCTCCAGACACAAAGGTGATGTATGTGTATATATGCAGGAAAATAAACACATAGAGACAGAATAATCTAAAAAACATTTTTAAGTGAGAGGAAACGCTTATCTGAATAATTTATAGGCTAGATTATTAAGGACGGGTGTTTGGGTTCTACTTGTTACAGGAACTACTGAGAATATTTGGAACTTGGCACAGGATGCAGCGTCTTGCTTCGTATGTGCCTTTACTGTGCTGTTTGAATGGTGACTGTGGCTTCCTCAGAGCCTCACAGCTTAGTGCCTGTGAGGTCTGCGAGGAGTAGAAACCATTCTAAGGAATTGGCCAATTCTGTTTTGCCCTAAAGAGGTGATAGCTAAAGGGACTGGATGGTTTTCACAGACAGTAAAAAGAGTATATATTCTTATATATACTGTTCCATAAGTAACATAGTGGCCTTAGTCCACGGGTCTTACATGTAAGGATACCTAGGCCAGTAAGGAAGCTGGGGCACTGTGCTGAACTTGTAAAAGAATACCAGGAAGGGTCAGGATTGGGATTCAAACCTAGACTAACAGACAGCAGGTGTTGGACAGCAGCAGCAGGCTCAGAACCCGTTCCTGTTCCCCTCCTCCCCCTCCTTCCCTCCATTTCCACAGTATTCCACAGTTTACTGATTGGGCCCTGACTAGGAATAGGATTGTAGTGACATCATGAGAGTTATAAATAGGTTTAATGGCTAACAAAACCTTGCAGAAGTTTTGTTCCGCCTTTGGGATGAGGCGGGCATTGCTTTTCTGCTGAAAACAAACTCTTAGTGTGGAACACTGAGACCATCGATTTAGAGACACTGTAGAATTAAGGGGATATGACAGTCTGATCTCTCAAAGGGAAGAAACAGTGCAGGCCCTGTAATTGCACCAGTGTGCCACAGACTGCACTGCAGGGAAGGAAACGGGAGACGATAGGGATGCACGCAGGAATCAGACATTCCAAAGGAGGAGAGCACATGACCGTGTGTATGTCGGCGTTTCTGAGAGTTTGGGGCTGAGTATACAGGATAGAAAACGTTTGAGACCAGGGAAGGACCCACCTGAAAAGAACAAGACACATTGTGCTCGGAGATCCCCTGGAGCTGGGAACAGTTTTGAGTTGGTTCTGGTGCTCGGAGTAGTCACACCTTTATAGCTGTAATACTTGAGTAAAGGGTACTCTGCACCCACAGTTTCAGAGCTGGTAATCCTCTAGAGAATTAAACTACACAACAAAACGAAGCAATGCCAGCAACCCAGTGCCCAATAGTGTAAAATTCTTAATGTCTGATACCGATCAAAAATGGGTAGGCATATGGCTAGGTATGGTAACACACACTTGTAATACCAGTACTTGGGAGGCTGAGACAGGAGGATTGCCTAAAGACCAAGCTGGGCTACATGGAGACCCTGCCTCAAAGACCCTAGTTTCCTAAGGGAAACTAGGCATATAAGAAGCCAGCAATCAGTGGATAAAAACCACCAGCCTGGGAGTAGCTGGGAGTATAGCTCAGGAGTTATAGCGCTTGCTGCGTTTGCATAGTTCCCAGGAACCACGCAGTGCCCCGCAGCCATCTATAACTCCAGTTCTAGGGGACCTGACATGACAACTCTTTCTGGCTTCCTTGAGCACCCAGCACACACACGATTCATATACATACATGCAAGCAACATTCATGCATAAAAAAAAAATCAGCCTTTTAAATTCAAGCCCAGAAATGACAGATAATGGGATTTGAAAACAAGGACCTTAAACTTGTTAAATCCTACAGGTAAACAAGAAGACAGAGAACGTTGTACATAATGACAGAAGAAAGATCAGACAAGTGAGGCAGAACTGACTGGAAGGAGGACGCTGGGTGCCTCTGATGGAAGCCCAGCACTCGGGAGGTAGAGGCAGAATGACCACAAGCTTGAGGCCAGCCTGAGTTACAGAGTGGGCCTGAAGAAAATTCAGGGTGGGGAGTGTGACCACAACAAAGATTAAATACTACTGAAGAAAACATCGGGGAACATGAAGCCATTAGATGTTGTCTAAATTGAAGTATGCCCCAAACAACAACAACAAAACCCCAGAATTTTCCATTTAATATTTTGGGTGGGGGAAGGGCTGCCTTTGACTGTTAGTAACTGTAACCATGGGAAACAAAACTGAGACTGAAAAGGAGACATAGTAAACTCAGCCATGTCCGTTACTGTGATTCTGTTCTGAACACTCCGGTGAAGAGTTGGAGGGGTAGAGATCATAGTGGTAGAGAAGAGCCTTTTTAGCTTTCGACAAAACCCTAGGTTAAGTTTCCAATCCAAGGTATAGATAGATAGGTACATAGCTAGGTAGGAAGATGATAGATAGATAAATTGATAAGTGGCTTGTAGGCAGGTGGATAGATAGATAATGGTAGGACTGAGTAAAGCATACTTTGGCTTGGTTTATGGCACACCTATAATCCTAGCATTTGGGAGGCTTGGTTAGGAGGATCAAGAATTCAAGGCCAGTCTGGGGCACTACAAGATTGAATCTCAAAAAGAAACATATTTATTCTTAGAAGGTTATTTTCTAAATCATGTCTCTCCCTTTTAAAAGTTACAATTAATGAAATTTTTGCCTTGCCTATTGGTGGAATTTGTCAATTCATTGACAGTTGGCACAACAATACTATGAAGTGAATGACATGATTTTCAGATTTACTGGATAGGTTTTTTGTTTATTTGTTATCTTAATGATTTTTTTCCATGGCCATGTTTGAAGACCTCTGCAGAGGGGAGACCCTCACTCAAGTCTCAGAAAGTCGCGACTACCCAGTAATCTGCTCGAGACACTGTGTACCAGAGCAATAGTGAGGTTTATTAGGGTGTGACAACTAGCTGCCGGTCAATTCGTATGCCCACGCAGGAGCTGAATTGACCCCGACAGCCAGTTTGAGAGGGGTTTTTAAAGGGAAAAACCACAAACCAAGGAATGGGGAAAGGGTGAGGGGTTGCTAGGGTGGTATAACATAAAAATGGTGGAACATTCCAAAGGAACCCAACCTACGTGAGTCAGGATCAGGTGAAAACTCTCTGTACGCTTATCTTTCTCAAGAATGTGGTCCTGCCCTGTTACTTCGTCCTTGCCCTGTCACTGCGGTTCTCAGCTTGGTTCCACCTGGCTATCTTGCATTCTAGCCAGTTCCCGTAACTAGTCTGTCCACATTCTTAACTTGCTTCATGGCTCGATTTCTCCATGTCTTTATAAAGAAAGCCTAAAGAATATTTTATATGTCTAAAAAGGATTCTATATACCCAGTATCTATAATTTTTCACTCTACATGTTAACTTACCTCAGAAGCTGCTCTGCTAGGGTTCAGATTTTGCTTCAGATAGTCCTTCATCCTCAAGCTCCTTAGACCACTGGTGATTAATCTGCTAACTGCTTTTGCTCACCTCAGCCCTCCCTTCAGATAGTTTACCTCCCTCTTGGGCAAGTTGCTCCTGAGAGTCCCAAGAGCACCTCTGTGCTTTTGGGTGCTTTGTCTTCCTTAGGGCCACAGCATTCTTACTGAAGGTACAAGTTCAAGTGTGCCGTCTCTGCATCCTCTGCAGTTTCTTTCTTCAGGTTTGTTGACAATCCTGTCTCAGCTTCCCAAGTCCTAGGATTACAGGCACTATCACTCTTGACTAGCCACAAACTTCCTTTTTTTTTTTTTTTGTAGTCCTTTTCTCTCTGCTTCACACGGAGCTTTTGTTTTTGGCATCACCAAAAAATGGCTAACAGGAAGAAACCCCCAGGTCTCCTGGTGTGCAGTATCTATTATCAAAGAGACAGTGCCAGAAACCCCACAGACTCTTTTGTTTCTAATACCTGCGGGCCAAGAATTGGTCACCTCTTCTTGTCACCTGCAAGGGTCAATCATTGTGTCTGGCAGAGATAACTTTAGGATTCACCTGGGGACCCAAATGGTGAGGTCCTTAACCTCCAGAAAAACAAAAACAAGCAAACAAAAACAAATACAGAGGGTGAATAGCAGAACCACAGGAGGTCTCCAACAGCGCAGCAGGAAACAGGATGGGTTGGGTAGGGGTGGTCTTTAGTTCTCGATCTGTCTGGTTCTACGAAGCAGGCAAATTCTTTCCTGTTTGACTAATTCTCAACTCTCTTGATAATCAAAATTGGTTTGTCCCAAAGAGTCATAACATATAGTTTAACTTTTATCTTTGCCCTCTAAAACCCAGCGAAGTAAATCCTGGAAATAATGTTTTGCCAATAGTTTGTAAGCACGTGGTGAAGGCAGGTGTTCCCTCTCAGGAAGTGCTAAGGGGTTGAAAGTGAGTCTTTTCAGATTGGGAAGCAGAGGCAGGTGGAGCTCTGTTAGTTTAAGGTCTGGATGCTGCTCTCTTCTTTCTGTAGCCTTTCCCTCACGTGGCTCTCTGAGAAGGCAGGGCTCCATCCTGAGACATGTTCCACAGAGACTCGGGTGTGCATCCCCTTCTAACTGGCTCCAGAACCAGGCTTCCGAGAGCTGTTCTAGATGAAGCTGACCTCACCCACGCCCCCACAGCATTATTTCATACATTCCTTCATCTGGCATGGCCCCTACATAATCTCAAAAGTTCTAGGTGATTCACTACTGAAGATGCTGATTTTACACCTGTCGTATTCTAAGGGGGAGAAGGAGCAGACTGATCAGACATTGGTAAGCACCTGAAGAAAGCCAGTCCAGCCCCAGGAAGGATTTCTGTCTCAACCTTTCCAGGTCACCTTACAGTGAAACACAGTCGTGTGTCACGTGACTGCTGAGATGATTCCGTATAGTTTTCTTCTCCGTTTCCTACTCATGCTGTGTCAGTTACCTGCTACTGTGTATGTAACTGCTCCACAGCGAAGGGCTGAAAACAGTCGACTCTGCACGTCAGTCAGGATGCTCTGGTTTTGGTTTACTGGATCAGTTACCTCAGAGCGTTGGAAAGTTTGTGTGACATGATGCTGGCAGTAACAGCTAGCATCTGTCATGCGCACTGTCCGGCACTGCCTAGGTCACTCACAAGTACCATTTCAGTTTCATAACAAGGCCAAAGGTCTCGTCAGAGCAGATTCAAAGTATGCCCAATGCCACATGGTCATCTTCCAGACTGCATAGAGTGCCTCATGAATTCTAGTGACTGATTTTACTACCTATGATTTGCTGTCACACAGCCCTGCCCCTGGGCCTGTCTTCCCTGTGGAAGTCAGGATACTGAACTCTGCAGGAAGGATCCCAGCTTACATACTGGAGGACATAGGTTGGGCTCCTGGCAACCGAGGACTTTGGCTACTGTACCTGCTGTTTTACTATAATAGGAAGCTGAAGAACACCTCTAAACCTCTCAAAGTTCCCTGGATTGGGAGAAGACCTGACTTTGGGTTGCACTACATTTTTCTTCTTTTCTTTTTTCTCTTTTTTTTTGTTTTTGTTTTTTTTTTGTTTTTGGTTTTGTTTTTTGTTTTTCAAGACAGGGTTTCTCTGTGTAGCCCTGGCTGTCCTGGAACTCACTCTGTAGACCAGGCTGGCCTCGAACTCAGAAATCTGCCTGCTTCTGCCTCCCAAGTGCTGGGATTAAAGGCGTGCGCCACCATCGCCCGGCACATTTTTCTTCTTAAACTAGAGCTGTTTTGTTTTTATTTACAGTTTTACAGATTTAAAGGAATTGAGAAAGTTGTAAATGTAAACTGCCTTTCCGACAGTTGGACCATCAGCCTTTGCCCAGACTTTGTCTCCCCCCGCCCCTCCAGACTCAGGTCCCAGAAGCCCAGCCTCTCTTGCTTGCTTTCCTGAATTGGACTCTGACACTCATCTCTGACTTCGTTGGCTTCCTTGATGTGGAGGGGGAAGAGGAGCACTTCTACTTTAATCTATCTAGAGTTTTTCTTTACATTTCTTAGACTGTGAATTTATTAAGAAGAAGAAGAAAAGGCTTAGAAGGATAGTTACCTGATCCTGGAACTCCAGCAGGCTGGCAGTAATGCTCAGTGGTGGGGCATTCTTAGCCTGGCTAAGACAGAGGAACTGTCTGTCCCTAACACCCGAGAAGGCTGCAGGGAGCGAGCACAAAGCCTCAGAACGTTAATTGATCATGATAGGGTCAGACTGAAAGGATTGTGTTGTATTTACATTGAATATTTGAACTGTTTGAGGATCTTTTCGTATAAATTGACCAGCACAAAATAATCATATGGGTGGCATCTATATGTTGTGTTCTAATAGGATGATTCTGAAACTTAGCAGCCCTTGGGTTGGGCAAGGGCCCAACCTAGTTCTTACACTGGGTTCTAGTTGAAAATGCTGAAGAGTGCTTTGATAGCCTAGTCAATTAAGGAACATTGCCAAGAAGGAATGTTACATATTTTTTATGGAAATGTTTAACTATACAGAAATCCAAAAGGAATAACATAACTAATTTTCATGTACCAGCTTTGGTGGCATCAGTAGATGCCCACCCTGGTTTTAAGATCAATTCTAAACATGTCATATGGAATCTTAACTCCTCAAAGGAGCCGAAGAGCGTTGGAAGCTTTAGCTTGGGCTATGGAAGCCTGAAAGTATGGCTGTGATGATTGCTGTTCCTGTAGCTCAGGGGCCATCAGTTTTTCCAAACCTCTAATTGGTTTCTCTTCTCCAGGGCCCAGTCATATACGCACAGTTAGACCACTCTGGCGGACATCACAGTGGCAAGATTAATAAGTCAGAGTCTGTTGTATATGCGGACATCCGGAAAGACTAAGAGAACACTGCAAACATTTCTTAAGCAAGAAACAAATCCAAAGTGGACTCTTGTGCAGATAATGTCCATAACCGCGTGTGGCCTTGAGGACTCAGGCAAGGACAAGCACATGTATACTCAGAGAAGAAAATGTGTATAAAGGATGTGTATATTCTATTTAATCTTCCTGATGTGAGAGGCCAGCGTTGCATGATGAAATGGTATGAGCCTACGTGTGTGTAAATTGTCTTGCTGTTTCTGTATATTCTTTCAGAGTCATTTCTAGCTGGAAAGTTTCAGAAACATCCTGTCGTCCCATGCGTGATATGGTTTGCCTTAATGAAGACTCTGCAGAACTGTTAGTCCTTCAACAGACGTGGCCCTTTCATCTAAGGGCTCAACCAGTCTAAGCATTTCTTGTAGTTAGAGACTGAGCGTTCAGTGGAAGTGTGTCTCTCGAAGTATCAGGACCATTCACTCTGTGCTCGTGCTAGCTGATAGACACTGTCCATCAACCGTGCCACCTGAGGACAGTTTGACAAGGTTTTGTTGATGCTTTTCTAAAATATGAGGGAATGTTGAACTTGAGATCATCCTCATCACTGTCTTATTAGCTAAGATCTCACTGGGTTCTTGTCAGCATGCAGACAGCTGGCTGTGGTGGTTAAAAGGGTACAAATTACAGAGCCCCAGCATGACGTTAACATGTGAAAGTCTTCAGAGGAAGCCAGCATCTTCCTTTCTCCTCCTCTTAGAGATTCTATGAATGAACCACACATTCTAGATACCTCCTGACACCTCTTTACCGGCTCCTTGTGGTGCTGAGATGGTGTATATGGTGCTAGTTCTCTGTGGGCTTTGTTCAAATGACACCTCTTCTTAAGGGCGTTCTAAATCTGGCTCTATGACCTCCCTGCCCAGTCAGAACCAAATCCTCTGTTGGCCCAAGCCAGCCTTCTCCCCTAGGCAGAAACAGTTAGCTGCCAGCATCCTGGACTGAGCCTGCAGCCTGGTTCCAGCTGCTTGCTGGACAATGTGCAGACCTCATGGCCTGACTCCACACACCACCTCCTTTGGAGTATCCGGTCTCTTTCCTGCAACTCCGAGTTCTGGGCCTGGCTACAGATAACAGTGAGGTCACATCCAGATGGCAGACCTGTGCTTCCTGTGTCTTCTACCAGAAGAGTGCATGCGAATGGATAAGAGACAGCTAAAAGGGATGGTTTTTAAAATTCCTGTCTGTATTTTTCTCATGGAAATGTATCCAGCTAGGAGAGATACCAAGTTCATTGTTACTTTTTGATATTTTCATTTGTACTTCTGTGAATATTTTAATACATCTTTTTCAATTTCTGACTGGTGGTGTCTGCTTGTTTTTAATCAAACAGAAAAAAAGAGATAAAAGCCTTTTCTTGTGAACCATTGCAGCCACACAAGCCTCTGTCCTTGAAACACACACACTACCTGTGTGCCTACTTCAGAGCCTAAAACAGGACTACTGCAGATGTTTGTGTGAGATCTGTTCTCCAGCTTAAGTCTGGTTCAGAGGTCCCCTTACACCTTCTGCAACATATAAAAGCTACCTCAGGATACTGAAATGGCTCAGTGGGCCTGACAACCTAAGTTAGGTCCCCAGATCCTCATGATAGAGTGCATGCAAACACACAATGATTTGAAATTAAACAGCAACTCCCTAGCCTGTCAGCTGTGCTCTTGTGCTAATCTCCCCAGGAGGACATGAACAGCAAGACTTTGCTGTTTTGTTCATGCCTTCATCCATTGTAGAAGCATGCAGCACATTACAGCTGCTTACTGCATGCTTGCTGGGCAGGTGGACCCATCTACACAGCAAGAGACACTGAGGACTGCCCTGGGCCAGTCACTGCACTAAGCGTGAGGAGATGGTGGCAGAGACCTGGCAGGGAGAACCATTGCTCCTAAGACTTGCCACGAGGCCCTGGCTTGCCTTTCTTATTCTCTTGCAGTGCACTGAGCTCGGAGCAGCTCCGCTAGCCTAAGCCCTCTAGCAAGATGACCAGGCTGACACCATACATTTGCCCAACCACTGTCACTTAACAGGAACCTGGGACCATTTAGTCTAAAGAAAAAAAAAACCCAATTTCTTCTTTATTTGGATCAGTGTTCCACATGCTATCAGCAGTTCTGTCTCCAGGAGCTTCGAGTGGGGCATGGGGGGATGGGAGGGTGGGTGATAGTGACATGGCTGACCCAGGGTCTCAGTTTCAGTTTGAAAGATGGTGTGATGAAGGTAGAAAAAGCCAAAGACTACATGGTGACTTAGTCTGCCAAGAACTGCAAATGCTATCAGTGACCAAACAAGCGTTGGTGCGATCTAGTGATGGGTGTGTGTTGCTGGTTAGCAAGGATACGAAAGGAGGCCCTGGCTTTCACAACTTAAGGCTCTCTGGATGGGAGATACGGAACCCTTAGGGTTTTTCTTTCTTCTTTTTTTAATCATCTATGCTTCTCTCAATGGGAAACTGGGTGTTGCTGGTCTTCCTCCTGCTTCCAGGGCTCTGGCTTCTCAGGAAAGGTGCCAACCCCATCTGCAGCCTCTCACAGAGGCTGGGGGCCCAGTGAGCTGAGCTGGGCTAAGAGGAAACCTCTGGGGTTCGTTCTGAGGGTAGTGGGGTGACCTTGATCCTGCCCTGCTCAGGGAAGGTGAACCTTGGTGGAGGAGGAGCCTGGTACTGAACACTGGTAGGGAAGGTGGCAGGGACCTCACTGAACACCTCCATGGTAGCGGCCTCCTACACTTGCTTCCTGTAGAATCAAGACTATGCTACTCTGAAAAAAAAAAGTAAAGTCAGTTTCCATAGCCCCCAGGTGTAGTAGAATACACGTGTCCTTCCAACACTGGGGAGGTTGAGGAAGGAGGATCAGGAACTAGACTAGGTGAAACACTGTCTCAGAAAATAGAAAACCCCAAATAAGCCAGTTCAGACTCTTAAGGGTGGGTAGCAGGCACACATGTATGCATATATGCAGGCATGTATACATGCAGGCAAAAGAAGCCAATAGCCATTAAATCTAAACATTAAGATATAGACATTGGGGGAAGGGGAATCCATGAGAGCACACGCGCAGAACCCATTACCACTGTGCCAACCTAAAAGTTAATTAGAAGTCTGGATACACCCATATATAACAACAACCCTAGCCCTATATAACCCTAGCCCTTGTCATGCTGAATTAAAACGGTTCTATATGTAAGAGCACATACACCGTGCAAGTGGAGATATTGAAGGGCTACCTCGTGAAGCTGGTTCTCTCCTCTGACCGACTGTGGGGGTCCTGCAGAACAAATGTGTTGGGTTCATCAAGCCCACTTCCCCCTGAGCCATCTCGCTGGCAGAACATACATTGAAAAATGCATTCTGAAAGCCAAGGTCTTGGTTTTATCTATTTCCCAGTGTGTAGTCAAACTTCCTCTCTTGTGAAAATGGTGTTTTTGCAAGTGGTGTCTTCAAATCAGGAAACAAACACCGTCCTAGTAAAGATTTTTGGGTATTGGATGATGGAAAACGAAAAAATAGTATCACGATTTTGCGTTTGCCTCTGTTGCCCTTCAGAGTTGTGCTTGGAAGTGCCGGTGCCGATAAATAAGGAAGCAGGCCATCAGTCACCCACACCTCCAGACAGGGCTGCCCCCGCTATACATGCACCGTGGTATTTTAGTTTTCTAAACTTGCAGACATTTTAAGCTGTTCCCAGTTGTTGATCTTACTAGTAATTCTGTAATCATTTGTCCTTATGAACTACTAAAGAAAAAAAAAAAAACCTGCCAAATGTAAACTGTTTTCAGCCAGAGGAATCACAGCCCAGGGTCAGACCGCCCTTCTGGCCCTTAGAAATGGGACCTAACATCTGAGAGTGTCGGCAGGGGGTTGTGGGGGTGGTGGGGGTGGGGTGGACGGGTCCCCTCCCTCCTCACATCCTTCCCAAAGCCTTCGGGAGCTGACAGGAAAGCTTGGCTTTGTGGGTTGGAAGAAAAACATTTGGAAGTAGAACCGGGAGGGAGCTTGTGGATCAACGGGAGACTGGGCTGTGTTTACCAGCAGGGAAACACAAACCTCTCAAGGCTCAAAGGGATCCCAAAGGACCCGCGCTTCCAGCTTCCATTTCCTCCTGCAAACAGGATGCGAAGCTTCATTGTCCTTTCTTGGCTCTGGCATCCGTTTCTTTGCTGTAGGCTTTCTGGTACGGCCTTTGGTGTACCAGCATTTTAGGGCAGGTTGGTTTTTTTTGCTTTGTGTGTTTTTTAAGTCTACTAACATCTGAGACAAGACGTTGGACGTATTTATTAACATTCTCACTCTTGCTTCTGCTCTTTTCCTTCGGGATTGCATGGCCGCCACAGTGTGGTGGACAACTCTGCCTATGAGCATACTAACCGACTAACGGATGTCCAGCATCGGTGTTTGAACTGTGGCTCTGCTTGGGTGAGGGTCATAAAGCTAGAGAAGCCGGCTTTTGACTGGAAGTTTTTCTCTGAGGCAACTAAACTTTGTATATGGACTGTATTCTAGCTTCTTTCTCTGTTTTAGAAAAAAATTTTTTTAATCTTTAAATTACATGTTATTATGTGTATGTGCACATGCGTGTGTGTGCCTTAGTGACATACAGAGGTCAGAGGACGACCTTCCTGAGTCTCTCAGTACACCACTTGGCCTCTGGGAATTAAATTTAAGCCTCACTTGAGCCTAGTGACAAGAACCTTCACCCATGAGGCTATGTCACCAGCCTTTGAAGTTTTTTTTTTAATTAATTTTTTTCTCCATTTCTCTTTTAAACATTTATTAATCCTCTCCCCCCTCCCCATGCTCACCCCCAGACAAGGTTTCTCTGTGTAGCCCTGGCTATCCTTTAATTTACTCTCTAGACTAGGCTGGCTTTGAACTCAAAATTCAGCCTGCTTTCTCCCTCCTGAGTGCTGGGATTAAAGGTGTGCACCATCACTGCCCGACATTAACATTTATTCATTTTTAAATTGTGTAGTTGGGGTGTGCTATGTGTGCATGAATTTAGGTACACATGAGTTCAGGTGCAAGAGGCCACCTCACTCCTGGAGTGTTCAGTAGATCCGTAAGAATATGGAACATTTTAGGAAACTCTGACCTCATTTTTATTGGCCCAACAGGATCCCAGAGGTTTGTTTATGATATATCTGGGTGTCCCTGATCTCTTCCTGGTAAACTTTTTCTCAAGAACATTGCACTGGCAGAGGGAGAGTGTCCTGAAAACTTGCTGGAGGATCTTGGTCACAGGAATGCATCCATTCAACACATGGTTACTGGCAGCTGCTAGGACCGCACTTCCTCTTCTTCCAGAGACACTAAGCAGAAGGACCTCAGGCAGGAGGTCGTGTGGTAGAGAGAGTCCTGCCCTGAATCCCTCAGACACAGCGCCTGAGACAATGAACCCCAGACTCCTGGCTGAGCCAGAAGTTTAATGTTGTCCAAGTTGGACAAGAAAAAAAATCCGAGAGAACAAAATGTAATAAGGAAGAAGAGAGCTGGTACTTGCCTGTGAATAACTGGTCCCCAATCCAAACCCAGCCTGGGGTGGGCTGGGTTGGGGAGAAGAGAACTTTCATGCTTTGGGTTCCCTGGCCAGAAACTTGTGGCTGGGGAGCTCATAGGCCCCAAGGGATAACCTACTACTATTAATTCTGCTAAAAGGACATTGTATTAAACTGCCTTTTGAATAAATACACACCCACTGCTGAACTCGTCTCTCAGTCCTCGTCAGAGAAGTTTCTTTGTATGGTGGTTCACATGAAGGCACAGCTAGGCACAGTGCAAGCCAGTGTATCTTAGGAATGGCCGTAAGTAGGATGTCTGTGTCATACACTCCTCACACCCAAGGCTCATGGGATGTCACACAAGAGAAGGTACACGCAAGTACTGGAGGAGGACTGAGACAAAGCAGTGTCTTCTGGACGTGGCAGGATCCAGTAGGATTGTGAACTCAGCTGCTGTGGTTCCCTGTACCAGATCAAACTCAGTCAACATCATCCTGCACGGGCAGCAGAGGCTGGGGGTGGGGACTCGAGCCCCTTCCCGGCTGAGAGGAGAACCATTGCCATTGATGGCTCCTAGGGGAGGGAAGGTCTAGCTTTATGGGTGTGACCCTTGGAAGGTTGACCATGCTCCAGTGGACAAGTGCACACATGCCCCGACTTCAGGTCCTCTTATTCTTAGTGTTTTATAACCCACTGAATTTGATAAGTGCTTGCCATAGGCACGTGGAAGAGGAGCTGGTGTGTGTGTGTGCATGTACATGTGTGCATGTGTGTGTTCATGTGTGTGTACATGTCTGTGTGCATGTGTGTG